CCCCCGGGCCCCCTTGCCCCATTGAGCTTGTGGACAACAGCTCCTTTGTTTTCGAAGTCCAGAGCTAACGCCCAAAGGTTCCGATCAAGTTGTCTGCCCTTGGTGGTTGGACCCAATTTGGCGTTTGACCATTGATCGCCCGGTCGGCTGATGACCCTCACGAGCACTAGTGACACTAGTGTCGTGGTTCAAGAGCCCCAGCAGCTTCAGCTGTTTCGCATTGAGCTGGCGGCCGCGGCGTGCCAACCAAGAATGGCAGGCCTTCAGGAACTGTCGTAAAATGCGTGAATCCGTGTGGTCGTGTGCGCTAACACGTCCTATACTGGCGCAGGCTGGATGTCTGCAGCTGCTGGCAGAAAGCATAGGTAAAGATAGGTTCACACACCCGACCCCCTTTCAGCAGGACATGCCGTCGGAAGAGCATAAATAAAACTAGCGGTGTAGATTCTCAGCAGTTCCGTTGCAACTGTCAGCATGCCGAGACGGCATTTGTGAAACAAATGCCAGACATTAGCCCGCCTGTCAAACAGGCGAAGGCTGGGAAACTCTCCAGCCAAACGTCCGCACTTAGCATTCGGGCAGGCAAGTAGTACGAGCACTGAATAGTTGTAGAGCCCGAGTACAGAGAGTCATGAGCTTACAGCATAACAAAAGAGACACGGATGAGTGTGGAACTTAATTATCTTTCTGGAACAGCCACCGGAGTTTCGAAGAGATGCGCCTCATGGTGCCATACGATTTGTCCACATGGCACTGTGAGTGCCTTGTTCTCATGTGCACAGTTTCATGCCAGGCCGTGTGCATCCTTGTGCAGCATAAGAGCCAAAGCCAAGCAGTATTGAACTCGCCAAAGGCAGTGCCACGCAGGGATGCGCATGGGGTGGCCGCTCCAAAGGAGTGTACGTCCTTGCGCCAACTAAGCGTCACCAACTCGCTCTCTCATCGAAAACACCCAGGCCGGCTCAGTGCCTCGAAGAGTCTATGCCCTGGAACTCCAAAAACTCAGACCGTGTAGAACCCGTGGACTGTCGGAGTTCCCAGGTTCCTGGCTCTGTCTTGGCAGCAATTTGGCCCGTCATGCGGTCAACAGCCAGTCTCCTAGCCTGGCCTGACTGGTTTGGTTTCCGCAGTTTTCTAGGGTTTCATACCAAACGCACGCACTGCACCTTGTGGAAGAGGGAGGGACCACCGATTCACCGATGTTGCGCGGAGCACGGCAACCACAGTCGTTATGTCAGTCATGTTTCTCCACCCTGCTACTCCTGGTGTAGTCGAACTTTAGTTCTAGAGTCTAGAGAAAGTCCGCATCCTTGGTTTCAGCGACTGTCCCGTGCATAACTGTTTCCTACTTTGTGGTTCGCTTGAGGTTTGCTCTTTTTGGCAGGTTCCCTGATATGACTATGCGGGCGATTAGCAGGAGCTCGGTTACTTAGTATCGCTCACACCACAAGAAAGCTTCGCACGCGCAAGGCCATGGGGTTCGCAACTGGCATGCATGGAACGGGGATGGTTCATAGTCCTTACTTGACAAGACTGCGAAGCTGGACGGTGTCGTTGCTGTGTCCCTGCCTGATGCCCAACTTGCAACATGGCGCTCCACCACCCGCAAGTTTCCATGACGATGGCCTCAGCCCTGCACCCGAACTCTGGGGTTCCAAACAGACCACAAAATCATCCCGTTGTACACTTGGAGTACGGTAATCCATGGACAGAATACGTTAAAAGTTGTCGTAATAATACCGGAAAGCAGAAACAATACTGTTAACAAGAATCTTCACACCAATATAGCCTTCCAAGGCTCAACGTGAAGGGCAGATCCTTTCCGAGCGTTTGGAGCGGCTCACCGAGGTTCTGCCGAAACCAAAGTCGGGGCTGCGCAGCTGTGTGCGATGAGTATGTATGGTTCATGTTCATGTCTATATATATACATACACACTACATATGCACATTTACACACAAACATAAGCAAGACACACAAACACACAAACACAAGCACACACTCACCCGCGTGTGCGTGTGTGCGCACGCACGCGCACGGCAAGACACAGACGTAAGCTCCGGGCAGGCGCAACAGTCGGGGACATTGTCGGACGAATCAGAACGGAACTCGGAGGCTTCCATGACATGAGCACTTAAGGCTTCTTGCTGCTCGAATCCCTTCTTAGCGAATCGCTGTACCGCCTGCATGCTCGTCAAGAATAACAAGCTTAAACTCACGAGAGCCTGAATAGAAAAGGACATCGAAAGCTTCTAAACCACGCATGACTTACTGCATCCATGTTGGCTTTCCCAGAAGAGGTCGCAGACCACAAGCTTCCATGCCAGGAGTTGGATCAGAGACCAACCGAGATGCTGTCCCTGCAGGCAGGACTCGCGTACAAGCTCGTATGTTGTGGACGTTCACATCTCATGAAATTAGGTGTTGTCGGTGGGTTTGAGGTTCATCATGCTCCGAGCACAACGTGTTCTAGCTGCCCATGGCTTTTGCAAAGTAATTAGATGTTCATGCGAGAGTTCACGCAGAATGTAATGGATACAATGGCAGGCAGATCATGCGAAAATGCCGTGTGACTTTGCTAGAAAGATACAAGAAGGGTTGTAGGGTTTCCTCGCAGCCAGGCATACGCCCATGCTGTCGAGGCTCAGCGATGTGAACTGCCAGTCTGCTTCAGGCTGAAACAACTTCTGAAAGATTTGTTCGCGACGCTTCGGGTTTGGGGTTTCTCTGTAATTTATGGCTTTGATGGGCCTGGGCTTTTTCCAAGTGAAGAAGCATAAGTGAACCTCAATCTCGCAGGGATTTTGGTGCCTTCAACCCTGAGCGCTTGGGTCCGGGGAACCCTACCCAGCTGCTGGTCAGCTAGGTGTCGAATCCGCGCAGTTTAGCAGCCTCCCCGGCGCGCGGCCAAACACCCAAACCCCCAGCCGCAAAAATCACCCCTTTTCAGCGAAGCGGGTGGGAAAAAAGCTCACCCCGTCGAGCTCAGATCGCTGACAGAGAGGAGGTCGATCTTCAGGCCCACTGCCACTGCAGAGGGATACAGGACGAGGTAATTCAACAGCAGCTACGTCGTCACCAAATTGTTCAGCAAGTTTCGGGCTGAGGGCTTGCTATGAAGAGGCAGCAGGTGCACCAACAGATGCTTGCCATCGCTTCTCAACCACTGCTCCGTGCATAATGGAATTTCCCAACACTCCTACACAAGATGGCCCCATACATGCACTTGCATGCTACCTTGTTGCATAGCCTGGCATCGACGTATAGACTCCGAACCTTAACGTAAACCAGATACCTTCCTGTTCTAATAGGAACTACGGAGGTTAGTAGACTGAGCCATCTTGCGCACCCTTTTAATAGTAGAGACTTTTGCTGCAGCTGTGAGCAGCTTTAGGTTTCACTGCTCGCGACATGCCTCGCCGGGAGACTTCGAGCATACTGCAGCTTCATACTTGAGGCGAACTTGCAAAACATCGTTGCACTTACAGGCCCAAACATCCCCTGATCTTTGGCTCTGCCGCCCGGCATTCCAACTGCAGTAGTAGACCTCTCAAGGGCCGCCCAGAACATATTAGCTGGGGCTCCATTCCGGAGAGTCTTCAGGTTCGGATCGGCGAGGTGCAAGGCGTCTTCGCGACTTTCCGGAAGTTTTGGCCTCGAAGATCGTAAGGACATTCTGCGCGGATCGTTGATTTGTGTAGGGTTTTGGGCAGATATTTATGTATATATATATATATACATGTGGTCTAGGACAGTCAGGTCAAAGGTCTTGTGTTTGCGAGCTTGGGGCTTACGGGGTTTGGAGGCATTTCGTGCTTCATGCATTCAGCAATGTTCTGGATTCAGTTTGCGATGGTGTTGCCATGATAATAATGGAATTGCCACTACACTGTGTCTCCTCTCGTCGCAGCAGAACACGTTGCAGAGATCCAAACACCCAGTGTCTCGCCTCGGGCCTTCGGATGGCCCAACTCTCCGAGTCAATCGGAACTGCTAGTAGCTGCTAGTATGGTATCATGACCAGTTTGACGTAAATCTTCGCAAATCCGCGTATGGTAGGCGGGGATCATCATGGCTGGGCTTGCTTAGACTCATGCAGACCAAGGCACGGCGTTCGTGTTCTGCGTGGCACTTACGAACAGCTGACAGGCAGCGGAGGCTTGTGTGAGATTTGTACACTTGACATGATGTTCCCAGTCTACGTCCAGTGCACCTGTTTGGCAGCTGCTGCAAAGCAGCCTAGGTCGGAAGATGCGGAGCTGGTGGAGAAGCTGGCTGAGCAGATGCGTTCCCCTCAGACGATGCAGCCACGGAGAAAGCTGCAAGAGCCAACCCGCACCGCTGCCCAACCTCCTCACTGCTCCCGAGGAACAAAAACCAATAAGATGCTGCCCTCAGGGAGGAGTTCTGGTCGACACTCCCTGCAGCGAAGGGCTACCTCACACAGAAGCGGAGAGAACAGCCTGGACCTCGAGTCACATCTTGTTGCAGCAGGCGAAGTGTTTGCTGGCCTGTTGGCCTGTTTTCTACCATCATGCTTTTGGATGTTCTGGGTGCCTCGAGCCCGAAGCAAGCATGACAGGATCAAGATTCAGGGGCACAGATGTGCTTCTGCGTCTCAGGCAATTTGGACCTGCTGATGTAGTTCGGGACTCGGTGGCTTTCAACCGACCCTGGCATTCTCAGAGTTGCGGATCAGTCGGGCTTGCAGCTTGAGCCGAAAGTTCAAGTCATCATGTGATTCTCGGCAGTCTCCGGTATGCATGCATGAGATGTGCATGTGTGTGTGTGTGGGTTTGTTTGATTTTTCAGTCACGACTAGCTTGTAGCAGAGCATGCAATTGGCGGCCAATTTGATGCACCATGCCACCGCTGTGCTTTGCTCAAGTTGTTCCCAGTTGCTCCCTACTCAGCCCAGATGATCAGAGGTCAATGCAGTTACAGCAAGGAGAATGTTCAGCAAATTCCCCTTTCACATACCAGCCTGAACAATTAGCGAAAGATGTACGTGCCGCAGCCTGGACCTCTCCGTCCCAGGGCCTCTGCCTTGGGAGTTTCTTGGATGAGCTTCAATCACTTCGGTTTGACAGGCTACTCCGCGGCGGGATGGACATCTTACTAACCTTTGGGCTGTTGTCAAGTCGGTTCACAAGCTTGGGCCGTGAAACGATCAGAGTTGACTTGTCAGCAAGTGTCAGAAGAAACCCAGGTTCTTCTCTTGTGCGCGAGCCTTGGGCTGGGCTGGCGCAGCGCTTGGGTGCCGGGATGGGGCGCCAGGCAAGTGGGCCAAGGCTCTCTGTGCTCTGAAGGACGTGCACAGCCGTTGCTAGAACACTCCTATGCTCCTACATTCCTACATGTGATTGGGCTCCTACTGTTCTGGCAGCCCCGTTCTACGCAGCCCTGGCCCTTGCAGTCAGGACTTTGGCTGGACCACTACTGCGCCCATGGAATGCGACCTGCCGAGCCACCCAATCTACTGGAGCAGGCGAATTCCGAATGGGGCTGTTCCTAGCCGTTTCGCGGCTGAGACGTCGATAGAACGCATGTCACGTGCCAGAAAGATTTTACAGATTCCCATCGGCAACAGGCCTGCCAAGAAACTCATGAGAAGCCTGCAATTTATGACAGACAGACAGACAGACAGACAGACAGACAGACAGACAGACCGACGGACCGACCGACCGACAGACAGACAGACGGACCGACGGACCGACCGACCGACCGACCGACCGACAGACAGACACACACACACACACACCCGCGCGCACACACACACACACGCGCACATGCACATACTTAAACACCTACACACTTGCATACGTACATAGGTGCATGCATAAACACACATAGGTACATACGGGAAACGTATTGACGGGATAGGAACCTGTCCAAAGACGGCCCTCCAAGTCCATGAGCCCAAAGGACGAACAAATACAGAACTCAACGACCTTTTCGGATTTGGGGGCCGGACAGACCCAGCCTCCTAGAGATCTACTCTGATAACATCCCCACAGCCTGCAGATCTCCGCCATGGGCCCACCACCTTGGGCTTTTCTGCCTCCCTGGGTGCAGATGCTTGCTCCGTGCCATGTCATGAAAGACAGCGGTACATCTCCAGGTCCAGGGTTCCAAACTTGCTTTTGCGCATCTTGCAGGTTTCCTGGTTTTCACAGATGGGTTGTCAAGGTTGCTCATGCAGTTTCATGAGCTGCAGTGGATGTGTACGCTGGTTGATCAGTGCCGTTTCTATGCGGTCAGTTCATCATGGACGTTGGAGTTCCTCGTCTTTGCATGCTACTTTACAGGTCTTGACATGAGCTCGACGTTGGAGGGGCAGGCATAGCTACAGACCTCTGCTTCAAGGACACATACAGGACTCAAGGCGCAGTCGCCTAGCAACTCGACTTGTCAGTCGCGTCCCAGCTTTGGACGTGGCAAAATTCTTGTACATGCTTAGGCTTAGAGTTGTAGGGATTCCAGATCATGGTGCTTAGGGCCATGATCGTTTGATGCCGTTGATGTTAAGCAGCTGCCTGGAATTGTTTGCCCTGAAGTCTCAAGGAATTGCAAAGGGAACGTGACTCTTCAACACAAGGCACAGGGCTTCCTAGGACGGAAGGAAACCGATCGTATCATCTTTAAGTTGAGCTTGAGCAGAGCACGGTGAGAACTGAAGCCGACCAGGTTCGTGATTATCATCGTCCTTGGAGCTGTGCCACGTGCCTGAATGCATGAGAAGCTGATAGGATGGCTGGCCTTGGGTCAAGGGTCAGAGAAGAGGAGGATTCACTGGTGCACATTTTGCTTCCCCGAAAGTCTTCATCAGCTTGTGGTGAAGGAGCCGAAACCTGCCGAAACCTGCCACGGTCAATCAACTCGGACTATAGCCCGCTGCTGTAGCAAGACAGATGCATCAGTCCCACATGAAGGCTTTCATGATTTTGCATGCAGGGTGCAGCAGCTGCTGCACTGCAAAACCTGGAAGACTACCGCTCTCTATTAACCTCAGAAATCCTGTCGGGTTTCCATGAATTGCCCAGTCGTCAGAGCTGGTCACACTACGTGTTACACCCCAAAATCCCTGAACGACCATCTCACCGTCCGACAACATTGTTCGAAGACAAATTTTGTGTGGCATGTTTCCAGATTCAGCGTCGGAGGCGGAAAGGCTTATGTCAGTTTCGTGAAGGATAGATCATGCATCGATAGTGGCCTCGACCTAGACCCTCTGTTTTTTGTCTTGCCAAGCTACATGGCACCACAACAGATCTAGATCAGGGATTCCCCCCTACGTTGGAGGTCTCCTCTCCTAGCTTGGATCCCACGGTAAGCCTGAAACTTTGATAAAGCAAAATCCCTGAATCTGAGACCCTAAAGAGTTTGAGAGTCAATACCGAGCTAAACCTAAAAACCCTAAGTCCAAAACTTTACAGCAGCGACAGGGCTCCCACCTTCTTTGGCCGAGCCCTTTTCGGAGCCCCACGCGGCGCAGACCTCTCCGAGTGGCTGAAGCAAAAGGCCATAGAGGCGCGTTACACATAGCTTTCGGCCACGTTGAAGCTATCGAGTTTGGCATTTAGGGATGCTGGGCTTGTTTATTGGTCAAGGATTTCCCTACGCATGCTTCCTCGACTTTCGTGCTGCAAAGATTTGTGCATGCCACCTCGCGGTCCAAGGAGAATTTGAGGCAGCACGCATGTATTCAAAACTCGGCATCACGTTTGACGAATGCTCCGTGATTTTGTGTTGAAGGCTTGATCTAAAAATATTGCATTCCACCTCAGCTTTTTGCGCGCTACTGAGGCATCACGCTTGTTTTGTAGTATGCTGTGCGAGGTAGCTTACGTAGGGAAACCCTTGAATTGGGAATTCTGGATTGTTTCCGGCGTCTTGATCTAGACTTAGGGCTTGAGGATTGAATGTGTGTGTATGTGTGCGAGAGACGGACCTCAGGGTCTAAAAGGGTTCAGGTTACGGCTGTCCTTACGGCATGATCCTTTCCTCCTTTGTATAACAGCAGCAGACTGATATCGCACATGAACTTCCTGAAGCGACCAACTGCTGAAGTGAGTATGGCCCATCTTCGGCTCATTACGGGTTCGCAGAGGGGCCTGCGTCGGGTTCCATTATTTTTGCAGAGAGGCGCTGCTCGCTCCACAAGAAAATGTACCCCTCGAGTGCTGTTCCGCAGGGATCGGTTTTCGATTTCAGAGCATCAGGCCTTTTTGCTCTCTGAGGGCGGACCTGAGTTCTAGAGGCAGGGGCTCGCCCGCTCAAATTCCAAAACCTTTAGACTATATGGAGGACGGCCTTTTGACAGGGGAAGAGGGTGAGGCGGGTTTCTAGATTCAGGGCACATTTTGAGGTTACCATCCTTGGGAGAAAGCTGCCTGTGACTAACGTCTTCGGCTCACCTGCAGTAGCCGTGTGCTTCGTCAAGTCCATGCCTTCTGTTGCAATCAAAGGCCAGCTTGTGAGTCTCGAGGTTTGCCCCTTGTCTAGCGCAGGCAGGCCTCTGTCCCGAGATGCAGCAAGGTCGCATGTGATTCGAATGAAGCTGATTCCAGCATTCCACCATGCCACCATGCACGTGGATCGAGAGGTCGAAGTGACAGAGGGCGATCGGCAGCGACCAGACCAGTGAGAAGTTCCTGCCACGGGCCTGAGCAAGGCTCTCCACATCTCTACACCGAATTGCAGTGGATGGTTTCCGCACAAGATTCCTTTATGTTGAAATAAGAAACGTTCTGGTAGTTAACTCAAGGCAGCGTCTTGTTCAGCCAAGAGTCGAAGTCATAAACATCCCATGCAATTTGCATGAATGTGCACATCCCGATTCTGGTTCCGACGGCGCCGTGGCTGTTGCAAAACCAGCCCGCTTCGGCCTCATGAAATAATAGGAAAGTCTCATCCGGGAATGAGCTGGAAGTCGATGCACGCGGACGAGCCCGAGGAATCTGGGCTGGACTAATTTTCGCAGCGTGCAGGCAGGCTTGCCGAGCATGTCGATGCCCAACAGTGGATCGGAGGCAAGAACCGCGCAACAATGTCCGTTTTCTCCCATCTTGGTTTGTGTAAAGAGCCAAAACATGCTTGTTTGCCTGGAGTTCCCTGCTGAAGGCAGAATTTTCAATGTGCCTTTCCTGCATGGCCCTTGTGTGTGAGACTGATCTGCAGTTGAAAAGATCGGAGTCAGATTGTAGTGGTATGCTGTTTATGCTGCTCGATACCCTTCCCAGCCCAGCCTCATCATTTTGTTGAGCTCAGTCGTACTGTGTCGGAATCAAAGCCATTCTAAGAGTTAGACACGGAGCCATCACCAGCCCTTTTGCTGCCGAGTTATTGTAAGGTCATGGGGCCATCGCTTTCGATGGCATAGCCCTGAAGAGGAGAGAGTCGCGGCAGAATGCGCTTTGCCTAAAGATCGGGCAAAGCTTACCCGGTACCACCAGCAGAGGCCTTGCGATGTACAGGGGGCGCACCACTGGACGTGACTGCTGCCGTAGACAGATACCAGCGGTACTCGGACATCCGGCACCTAAGTAAGCTTCAGAACCCCAGGACCCCTCCATGCCCCTCGCCTGGATCTGCTGGCAGGTTTCACTCGGAATTCAAGTTGCATCCCAGAAGCAGTGGATTCCTCAGAGAAGGTTCGAAGCACTGACTTAGGACTACCGAGGAAGTGTGAGATGGCTTGACTTCGAATCTCCGTCTGTCACACCAGGGAGTATCACCGTTATTTGGCAGTCCGGGCTTGGGGCAGAAGGCTGGGCAACACGCTTCTTCTGCATGGTGAAGCAGTACGGCATTTGTTTCTGGCTTTCCTCGAGACCGGAGGCCATACTTGCTCGCCTGAAGAACGGGTCGTAGCAAGCGTGCCCGAGAGGCCCTCCAGGAGACGAAAAAGTTGGCCGTTCAGGTGCAAAGTATTAAATCCAGGAGATACCACTGGGATGTACTGCTCAGAATCCCTTCGGAGAGTTTGGTTATTCGAAAGCGTTTCTCATCTAATAGTATCGTTTGAACTGTTAGGAACTAGTGCGGGCACCATTCACTGTTACCACTAGTTATCACTAATTCCTGCTCCTCCTAGTTCGTACTGGATAATATCACGGTGCTAGAGATAGAGCCGGCCTTTGTAAAACTGGTGACTAGTAGCAAGTACAGTGAGAAGTTGTTGTCTCTCATTAGCTATTTGTTCTTCCTTCAGTTGCAAGTACGGCCAAGTGAACCGCAAATCCCAATGCCATATCGGTGGGTTTTCCGGGTCCTTGTTGGCTACAATTTTACAATTTTGGTCCAATATAAAACCCAAAAATTTGGTCCAATAAAACCCAAAACAACAGGGAACCAGTTTTGTTGAACCGGAAGAAGCCATTAGAAGAGTGTCACTCTGCTCTCTCTCTCTCTCTCTCTCTCTATATATATATATATAGATAGACAGACAGATAGATAGATAGATAGATAGACTCAAAACAGGCTGCTCAAATGCATTGGGTCTCATGGTTGCCTTGAGAAAACAGTTCCAGGATGGCTGATATGGAAGCTGACCACTACAATCTGAGCCCTCGATGTCACTTTCAGAGGCATGAAGCCTGCCACCTGCACTGCCATCCAAAGCATGCCAGGGTTCCAAAGATCTTCATGTACCAGAGATAGGCTCGGTGTCCTTCCAAGCAAGAGTGTCTGTCATCATCACGAATCATGGAATAACTAACGACTACTGGGCAGTTCGCCGAAGATTCCTTCTCGTCCACTGTAACCACGGATCGTGCAAATCCGGCTAGATTTCACAACTGCCAACATCTGTCGGATACGAGTGGTGTTCTTAAAGGCTTGCCATGCCTGATGGAGCTATCTGCCTGATTCGATGAGCGAGCCGAAAAACGAGGCAAGGGACAGGTCTTAGGTGCCTTCGGCTACGTCACGTTATATACCTGAGGGCTATACAAATGTTTACAAGCAAAATTTGTGTTGGATTTGCTGAGCTTCGGTGTATCGGCACAGCCCACGAAGTGTTAGCGGTTAAAGGTTGAGGACTTACAGGTGTCAGCATGATTGCAACCTAGAAAACGTGAGAACCCAGCGCCACGAAAATCATGTCCCGACTAACCTCGGCGACATTGCTTTCCCGGAGCGCGCACCAGGATGACGGCAAGACCGTCGGCGAGGTCGGACGCACATTCGCAATGTCAGGACGCTATTGGATAGGTTTGGGCAGGCTTTCATGGCGACCAAAAACTGAAGGAGTTGGGGGGTGTCATAGATTGCGGCTTGATCCGTGCACAGTTCTGGCGAGTCTGAGGCCTTTCAAGTGATTCAGGCCTGCATCGGGATCTCCAGCACATGTTCAGTGTCATTTATTGAGAGCGGATACCGGTGTGACACGAACGCTTCTGTCATGAAATTAAGGCTTGCTGCTCTTTTGCTGTGGCAGTGGGTTTGGCTACAGGTTCTTCCTCAGACAGCTTCACCTGCGCGTTCCGCACGGAGCTTACTTTGTTTGCCTAGCTAGCTTGCCCATTTCTGCTGCAGATGAACTTATAGCTTTCCATGTGAGTGTCTGAAATCCAGAACATCCCACTCCCATAGCCACCTATTAAAAAGAGAGATAAGGCCCAGGGGATTGGTCAGTGCAACAGCTCAGGGCGATGCAACGGGCATGAGCTCTTCCTGGCAGGCCGCTAGTCACTAGTCACATCTTTGATCTGCTAGACAGTAGCAGCTCTTGAATCATCGAATCTCTAGACTTCTTTGGAGGATGTGGATGTGCCGCAATCCTTCCACTTGTCCTTCACGGACAGGTGTGCTGGCTCCTCAGCTTTCCCTCTGGCATTGGTTGTACAGTCCAGCCGTGGGCGTGCTCGCACCTATTTCATCAGTGTGCGATTCCCCTGAAGCTGAAGCTATGCCTTCAAGTAAAGGTACGACAAAGTCATCCCCAGCCAATTCAACTCGACCCTAGGTTTGAGGGTGCATGAACCAACGCAAGCTAGTTGGAGATCAGTTTCGCAGCATACGAACCAAGTCATGTCTAACGTCAGGGCTCGTCAAGCTTGCAGTAGTTGGTTTCATGTAAGAACAGCTGTCTAGAATGTCTGGCCAGACATTGCCCTTCCTCACTGTGGGCGCGCCCTGCGGCGAGGCCGGAGGAGGAGTCTTGGGGCAACTAGGTTCTGGGTTCGGGATAAGTAGAACGAGCCTTGGCACGTGCAGCTTTAAAGGTGGGCCAGTTGTTGCCTCTGTGTCCACTTGTGGCCATGCCTTCCAAAATCCTTGAAGCCCTAAAGCCATGACCTAAAATCCCAGTGGCTGCGAGGTCACAGTTCGCGACCCAGAAACCGTCGGCAGCACGATGACGCAGCTGGCCTAGTCCGGCGTCCTGCTTTCCACCACAACCCCTTTCCCTCAGACTTATAGTCACAATTATCGTAGTAATGGCAACGAATAGCAACGACAACACACATGGTAACTTTGATAATAAACATAGAGATCATACTTTTAATGTCCAGAGTACTAATACCGATAGGAGTAATATTAGA